GAAAAGGAGTTTTGGAAAATATTTTTCCTTCTAAACATTTTCCTCCAATTAGAGAAAAATGAATTAATAAAGAAAATATTTTTCAAAACATTTAAGTCAACCAAACATTAAAAAATTGGATTCATACCAAACACACCCTTAGTCTATTTCCCCAATCCCCCTCCCCCTTTTTGTCCTCTTCCCATACCCCCTCCCGCTGTGCTTGTAATATGTTATTTGTGGGAGATATATTCTTCAACTCTTGACTCCCTGTCAACATTATATGCCAAACGTTGCAATTCAGTGTTAGTGAATTCATTATTTAGAAAGCTTTTCCCCTGCTGTCAATGGTATGAACTTTGCTTTTATTGAATGCCCCTGAGGGGACGTATGTACTCTGGTTTTTAGTCACTTGCTTTGCAATAATACTGATTCATTCCTGCCCCTATGAATGGTTTAACATGCATTGGATAGATTACTAAGAGGAAATAATTTCTGCTCAATGTATTCAGTAGCTCGCACCATTTCTTGGTGATTATTTTTGTTGACTATATACACTGATATATGTAGTGCAATTTTCTCACAAGACAACCAGTAGAGTGCATCATTGATGGAACAGTATTAGTGCACTAATGCTTATAACTTTTCATCATTTTGGCTCACATTTCTTGTTTGTTGTTATCTTTGTTCAAGCGTGCACATGTTTCCTTCTTAAAGGCAGGGGGTCTAAGGAAGAACATGAACAGAGGGAGGGGGCGGGTATGGGAAGAAGACTGAAAAGGGGGAGGGGGTTTGGGGAAATAGAACAAGTTGTGTTATTTTGTTGATTTCCCTTTCTTTGTGTGAGAGAAGAAGGGGATTAGGGTCGGGTATGGGTTAAATTAGTGGATGGATTTGCAAAAGAAATCGGGTATTTAAAATTGAGGTGAGTTATTTGTTTCTGAGCTTGTCACGTATCCTTCCGTCTAAATTAAGGATAAATTAGTGCTTATAGTATAAATGTAAGAGTATAATTGAACCGATACTCAAAGAAGGATATATTTAAACTATTTCGACTAATACATGGATGTATTTAATCATTTTCGGTTATAGTAAAGTGTTATGTTTTGAAATGATGAGAATTGAAGATAATAATTCTGAAAAGTGAGATGGAATAGCTATTGAAATATCTAAGACATTAAAAATAAAGCTCTAATATTAAGATGATTCCTCCCGTTGTGTCAGTCTTATAGCCAGTATAATCATACCAAATGACAGATGGAAAGATGTTCTTGTATTTGAATTATCAGCAAGGCCACACGAAAACCAAAACAACTGGTGTCTTTCTTGGATATGCCCAGTACCAGTATATATGCTATAAAGTGAAATTCAAGAAAGCCAATGTATCCTTAATGCTCTTTATAACACAATCACCTTATATTTTTCTTAACCTAGCTAACTAATCAGCCTGGGAAAGAATGATTATGCAGATGTACATAAGGGGGGTCGGCAAATAATAAGAGCTTTTGTCATTCTTTCTTGGCAGAATACATAATTTACACACAATCTTTTTTGCGTGTATTTAATACACACTACTTTTACACTCGTGATTTACATGCATAAGAGGCGAGTGAAGAGTTAAAATTTTGTATCTAAAGCGTCATTTGAAAAACATTTGTGCAGATTTTTTATTTTCCACTTTTTTATTCTCTAAAAGGATTTCATCAATTCTTTTCCATGTTCTTCTATCACAACACCACAACCACCCCACCAAATATTTTCAGTAAGATCTAAAGGGGAACGAGAAAATACAAAGAACCAGATTTTCCATATTTGAACATCAATTTATTTTGGTTATGACTCGTGATTCAAATTCTCCAAATTGACAATTGTTTTTAAGATTTAGATTTTGATTAGCTTCTTGAAATAATAAGGAAAGTGATGTAATCCCAAATAGCTGCTCTTTTTTCAGTTTTGATAAACTAGATACAGATTAATCCCAATCAGGTTTTATTTTTTTTCTCTCTAACAACCTTGATATGCAATCCTTGTTGTGAAGTCTTATTTATATATGGCAATGACGACGACCTTGTCTATGATCTCATGAACTGGAAGACACACCACCAGTTTCCAAAACTATAGCACAGACAAATCTGATTTTTATAATTAAATGGGTGGAATATTGAATGTGAGAAAAAAGTAGTCAAACACTAAAGATACATGTACTATGTATCCTGCCTTCTTTCTTAATACATCAACTTGAGTGATAAGGATAAAATTCTCAAATATCCCGAAGATAATTCACATATAGCTACGCATGGAAAACCGTTGCAACAAATAGGTAAACTGTTGCCATAGAGGTATTGCAACGGTTCAACACCCGTTCCACAAGCTTGCGTGCCTATAGAGCTTAAGGAACGGTTTAGATAACCGTTGCTATAGTATAGTCTATCACAACGTTTTTCCTCTTCCTGTTGGAACGATTATTCTTATTAACTACAACGGTTGAATTCTGTTACCATAACGTTTAATGCAACGGTAAATAACTGTTATTATATATATTAAACCGTTACGGCTATTATAGAAATGACAACGATTTCTTTAAGATATTGCAACGGTTGAACTACCTATTGCAATGGTTTTGTTATTATTTTGGAACGGTTTGAAGGTCCTATGGCAACGGTTCTGTTAGCTATTGTAACAGTTTAATTGAATTGAAAATATTGCCCTTGTTGTAAATAAAGATTTACACATATATATATATAATAAACTATAAAACACTACAATTTATATAAATAACAAAATGAAACTATTCATAATCCAAATTGTCCAACAAGCTAATAAATCCATAGAAGTGATAAAATATTACCAAGTACATACATTTGATATTTCAAGAGTTAAAAGTTTTAAAATATTGATAACAAACATTCCTAGAAACCGACACATGCATCTACAGCAATTCAAAATTCTATTAAGTAAGGTCTAGATGTTCATCACTGCCTCCGTCTTTCATTTCTTTATCTACTCCACCTACAAAAGAGTATAAATAAAGTCATTATCCCTTCAAGAGAATCCGATCTAAAATTTCTCTTAGTCCAAAAAACCAAGGGTAAAAAGGAAGTATAAAATTCTGCATTAAACTCTAAAATTGGATGGCAAAATATTGGTTTATCCCATAATATATGGACAAAGTTATTCCGGAGATCAAGGCATCAGCAACAAATAAAACTATACGCTCAAGAATGCAAAATTCCAAAAAATAGTTCACAAGAAGTACAAAAAGACACACATACTCTACCACACCCCAATTAATAAGGCAAATAACTAAATCAACTTAACAAGTAATTTAGAACTCAACTTAACATATCAGTGAAGAAGAAAGATAGTAAAGATCACATGTTTTATTAGGAAAGAACCAAGAATCTCCTAGAGACATATTCAGGAACCCATCTTTTGACTGTTTAACGCTACTTGTTAGATTCTAAACAGCAACATATATAGCTAAAAAGTCTGTGCATTGTCTCTTCTCCTCTATGATTAACCTTTTATAATCAAAGTGCAGTTTAACGTTTTGATCTTGGACCTTTCTTCAAACACAGCTATAGAAATCAACTTCCTAAAGCTGCTGCAAAATGCAGCAAAATAGCTGCAAAAATTACCCTAAAATACAGCAAAACAGATGCAAATATCGCTAAAAAATACAGCAAAATAACTATAGAAATCAGCTTCCTAAAGCTGCTGCAAAATGCAGCAAAACAACTACAAAAATCACCCAAAAATGCAACAAAACAGATGCAAATATTGCCCAAAAATGCAGCAAAACACTATAGAAATCACCGTCCCAAATCTTCTGCAAAATTCAGCAATTCTCCTTCCAAAACCAACCCAAAAATACGGCAAAACCCAGCCGAGAAGCCAGCTGAAAACCAGCGTGAACCCCATTTCCAATTGACCCCGAAACAACTCCAAAACTCAGCCAAAACTCCCTTAAAATGACTTCACAAACAACCCCTCTTTCTCCACCATAAATATCCTTTAAAACTAGTAAAACATTGCTAGAAAGAGAGAGAGCGCACAGTGGTAGAGAAGCAACATAAAAAAAGAGGAGAAGAAGAGGAAAGAGAAGACGTGTAACATTTGATACGGACTAACCTTGATTGTTACTGCCAGCAAATGGACGATTGATTGGTTGAATAACAGCTTATTGTGCAGAAAAAGCTTCTCCAGGTGCACGAGCATTGAATATTTATTAGCATGTCAGGATCAAGTCTCAAATCGGAGTTGAGACGTTGAAGTCGTGTAACGACGTTCATCATAATATCTTGTTCCATAGCTTCCTTTTGTGCATTGAACTTTTCCAGCATTCTTTGTTGCATCCTCTCTTCCATTTCCTCTATTTTTTGTTGCATTCTCTCATCAATAGCATTTACAGAGGATCCAAAATCTTCCATTTCTTTTTTAAGACAGTCTTGTTAACTCTTCGTCATACAATCTTACCCGACCTGGGTGCTCAGGTCCCATGACTGATGTAAACGCGTCAACTGAATCACTGCCATCTTCACTTTCTTGAGTTGATTGTATTCTCTCCATTTTAGCCTACAAACCAAATGCAAGAGAAAAAAGTTAGTAAATAAAACTAAGTCAATAATTAAGAACAAATAAATAATCACGACAAACTTTAAATTAGAAATTTCTTACAATTTTACTAATTGTATTCTCATAAGAGCCTTTGTATACTCGACTAGGCTTTCTTTTTCTTGTAGCCACAAAGATGTCCTTACTTGATAATGTATCTGAAGTATCAGCCATTTCCTTCTTGTTTTCCTAGTCACATGAAAATTGGTATAAAATCTTTTCATGCAAAGTTAGTAAGTTCATACTTTAAGAAAAATAAGAGAAAAAATCAAACCTCGATGATTAGAGCAAAACTTGTTTTGCCAGCAGTGTGTGCATGCTTCAACTTTTTTCGATTCTCGATATTGGTTTCGGACGTTTTCTGCAAATAAACCAGGGGCGGCCCAACCCTAAAGCAAGTGAAACACTTGCTTTAGGCCCCAAAAATTTAAAGGCCCCAAAATTATTAGTATTCTTTATAAATAGTAGTATATTATTTATATAATTATCTTTTATTATTGATAAATTTATTTCTTTATTGTCATATTAATTTTTAATAATTCAATTTTTTTCTCTAATTAATATAACTAAAATAATTTTCTGTCAATCTTATTTTACTTTTTTACTTAATTATATTTCTCTATTCATTAGTTGGTCACGTAACTATATCTAATAATCTAACTTATTAATTATTTTTTTTACATAAATTATACTATCTCCGTCCCAATTTATATGAAAGTGTTTGACTGGACATGGATTTTATGAAATAAAGAAAAGCTTTTGAAACTTGTAATCTTAAATAAATCATAGAAGTTTTTGGGTTAGAAATCATCTCAATAATGGTAAAAAGAAAAATCTAAAGTTGAATTGTTACCAAATATAGAAAGGGACTTACTAAAAAAAAGGAGTCACTTATGTTTTCTGGATTCTCCCATTTCAGTTGTGATGCAATCAACGTTAAATTCATTTAATTTTCTGCATTTTATAAAACTAAGTTCTCATTTTTTTTTTTTAATTATACATCCTCACTTGTCTAATTTTTTTAAAAATGATATTCATAATATATATATATATATGATATTCATAAACTAAGTTCTCATGCTATGTATATATAGTATAGTATAGTATATATAGTATATCTTAAGATGTATATATATCTTAAGATGTATATAGTATAGTATATATAGTATATCTTAAGATGTATATATATCTTAAGATGTATATAGTATAGTATATATAGTATATCTTAAGATATATATATATATATATATATATATATATATATATATATATATATATA